ACATGAGGAAAGCCAATTTGATTAACTTAACCTTTAATCTTTAATTGTTAAGATTGTGTGCTCTATGTTGAACAAAGAAGTTCTTTTTATTTGCCTCCCTCCAAGTAGGCCCAATCCCTCTCCATGTTGTGCTTTATCACTTGATTTGTGTACATTGTGAGCTTGGCAGCTATCAGTGAAGCTCACTTCACTGTATCTCGCTGTACGATGATGATGATGATAGTTGTTAAGAGCAGTGGGATGTCCCGAATTAGCCCCATCTCGCTGTGCTCCACTGGGCTGATTAGGTGTTGATACCAGACCAGTGCTCCAGCACAGCTCTGTCGAGTTTTAGCTTGAATATACTGTCGTTTGGTCCTTCCACCACGTCCTCCGGAAGTGCATTCCAGAGATCTGTCACCCTCCTCTACAGACGATAGATCAGCGGCAGACCATTTGACCGTATCTTGCGGAGCGTCAGTGCGTGTCCGTTGATGCGTTTTTTGTTCCTCAGGGAGAGTTTCAACTGCAATGCTTGTCCAAAGTTGCCCCGGATGATGCGTCTGGTGTAGATCGGGTCGACTCTCAGTCGTCTGTATGACATAGGGAACAGTCCCGTTGCATTCAGTCAGCCCTCGTAGCTGATCCCATGTAGTCGAGGCGTATAGCAGCCTCTTGAACTCTCTTCAGTTGGGCAACCTCAAAATTCGTACAAGAAAAGACTACCGGACCGCCATATTCCAATCGGGAGCGTACGTGGGAGGCATACAGCAATTTGAAAACCGTCAGGGGTAACGAACCAAACGAACGGCGGATAGCACCCAACATACTCCACGTAGAGGCACAAGCCTTGTCTCTCTGCGAACGAGTTTTCAGATTGCTTCTGATGACAACACCCAATTCTCGTTCCTCAGTTGACCGCCGGAGCACGGTACTTCCAAGAAGGTAGCTGGTGGTCAGACCGTATCCTCCTATCCTCATGTGAGTAGACCTGGAGATATTTATCGGTAACCCCCATACTCTCGACCAGTTCATCAGAGCATTCAGGTCATCCGTCCCTACTCGGAGTTTTGCCAGAGCTTGAGGTCGTCCGCATGGATTAGGCACGGACTACTCAACGTTGATGGTATGTCGTTCGCAAAGATCAGGAACGGCAGTGGGCCAAGAACGGAGCCTTATGGGACACCACTGGTGACTGTGTAATATGCAGATTGATCCTGTGAAACTCTTTCTGAGAAGGATCTCCCTTTTAGGAAATCCTCCAGCCAGCGAATTGCGAACCCTGTGACACCCAGAGCCCTGAGTTTAGTGAGCAACTTATCGTGAGATGCTTTGTCGAACAAAGATAACGTCCGTACAATGTCCCTCGTCCTTGTCTCTAGATTAACCTTCCCCGAGCAAGCAATACATTGATAATGCAGGAACGCCTCTGGCGGAATCCGTGTTTTTTCCTACACATCCACTGGTGTTGCTCAAGGTGACCCGTAAGTCGTGAAACCACCAATTGTTCCATCGTCTTACCGACAACCGATGTGAGGCTCACGGGGCGGTAGTTACCTAGTGCAGCTTTCGTTCCGCTCTTGCAAATCGGAATCACAACCGCTTTCTTCCACTCTTTGGACAGTTCCCGAGCTCACTGACAGGTTGAATAGCCACGCAATTGAGGGGAAGAGCTGGACCGCCAGTTCCTTGGGCGTGAGGGCATTAAGACCATCCGAGCCTGGAGACTGACTCGTCTTGATCAACTGAAGCACTTTTGTTACCTCCCCTTTTGAAAACTCTTCGAAAGTGAACATCAATGTAGTTCTGACTGCCGATGGTGAGGAGCCACCATCTACCGTGTATACTGAGCG